AACGCACGAACGAAATAACGAATAAAGAAGAAGAACAAGAACGCAGACATAGCGAAGAATAGAGGAGTAGATTAAAAAGAGGAAAGAAAGATCGGGTGGCCGACGAAGAAGCACCGGCTGCGACGCGTGGCGTGAAGAAAATACCTCGGAGAATCGCTCGCGCCTTTCCCTGCCGAGCGAGCGAAAACTAGAGAGGGTTACAGACACAACTGGTTCGAAGGAAAGAGCGCGAGCACCTCGCGAAAACTCTGCTAAGGGTCCCGTTGACAATCAGCCCTAAAACGATTAAAACCTTAGTACCCGACAAGTTAAGCCGTGTTTGGATCACGAGGCGCCTGGACAGCGCCACGGGAGAGCGAATAAGAAATCGTCGTCATCATAAACATCTTCAACATCATCATCATCGTCATTATCAACATCCTCATTCTCATCTTTATCCTCATCTTTATCTTTATCCTCATCCTCATCCTCATCCTCATCCTCATCCTCATCATCGGGTACCCTACTTTCATTCTCGCTTTCGTTTGCTACCTCGCTTTTATCCTCGACTAACTGTGTGTGTGTATGTTTGTGTGCACGTCGCTTTCACACCGCCGACCGAAAACGTCGGCGACGCGTTCACCTTACAACCTAACAAAGACGCGTGGATCACCGTCGATCGATCCGGTCGGGACGACGACGTTGCCCGGCAGCGGATTTTCTCCATCTCGTTTTCTGTTATGGTGTGTGTATAACATATCTTGTTGCCTCATTTTTGTTTAACTTTAAAAATTCCCTTAACTCTCAGTTTGTTTTTTCCTTTTCTTTCCCTTGAAGGTGTGTAGTTTTGTACGCTTTGCCTCGACTGGCTTAGCGTGTCACGCTTGTAAAATATATAATATATTTATATATATATATATATATATTTTATATATATATACACGTTCGTATATATATATAATATACCTTAAGATTTAAAGATTAACTCTGTACAAGAGCCGAGGGCTCTTCACCGAGTCCCTCTTCGTACCCATTATCGTTATCATTAGCTTGTTTTTTCCATTAATCCTAGTCTCTCCCTCCTCCCTTCAATGAATACTCGTGTTTCGTCTCGTGTCTCTATCGTTTCCTGTCAAGACATGCGCGGGAGGCGCGCGAGCACGCGCGCGCGCGCCCCCTCCCTCTCTCTTTCTCTCTGAACATGGTTCACGGCTTCCAACGGGAATCGTTCACCGGGAGTCGCGCGCCTGAAGAACCCCAGATTACTTTCTTTCGATCGGCCATGGGAAACCCAACCCCTGATCAACGCGTTCGCCATACCCAGACCCTGTTGTCTCTCTGATCTATCGCGGATCTACCTCTGTCCTCGCAGGCCTGGACAGTCTTAACGTCCGGCGGATCAGAGTCCGGCTCTTAATCAGAGGAAAAATGATTGTATCTTAGAAATGGATACACGGTGTACTGTCCCGGTGGACCAGAAGTACTTTTGCTGCTGGCTCGTTCGCGCGCGGTTTTTGCTTCCCTTAGTCATAGCTGCTGATGCTGCTGCCGCTGCTGCTGCCGCTGCTGCTGTTGCTGCTGCTGTTGCTGCTGCTGTTGCTGCTGCTGTTGCTGCTGCTGCTGCTGCTGCTGCTGCTGTTGCTGTTGCTTGTCGCTTGCTGGTTCCTTTAGCCGTTTATCCAAGCACGATGCAACGGTGGTGGCCAGTGAATCGGGAGTTGCAGCCATTGTAGGAACGGATGAGCAACTGGCTGGACCCATCGCGGGGATCATCAGTCGTACACTGCGCCGGGCGACCAGAAGGGGACTAGGGCGTAGGGCTGGTACCACTGCCGATCGTTTGATTGTGATTCTTGTTAGATGTTGCTCTTGGAAAATGATACTCTCAGGTGGTTGGACTCGCTCAGCTGGTAGTTGTGCATTTTCTGGAAAGATTCGGATAGTTGCAGCTTCTGGTTGAGGTTAGGTCAGGGCTGTTCTAAAGGAACTGCGAGGTTAGGAGATCTGATTCATGAAGTCTTTTAGGCTAGATAGAATGAGCTGAGTCTAGGTTCGGTAATTTTATTCTGACTCTTGGTAGATGTTGCTCTTGGAAAATGATACTCTCAAGTGGTTGGACTCGCTCAGCTGGTAGTTGTGCATTTTCTGGAAATATTCGGATAGTTGCATCTCCTGTTTCGGGTGTATTCTGTTTGAGGTTAGGTTAGTACTGTTCTAGAGGGAATTTAAGATTAGGAGGTCTGATTTATGAAGTCCTTTAGATTAGGTAGAATGAGCTGAGTTTAGGTTTGGTAATTTATTTGTGATTCTTGGTAGATGTTGCTCTTGGAAAATGATACTCTCAGGTGGTTGGACTCGCTCAGCTGGTAGTTGTGCATTTTCTGGAAAGATTTGAATAGTTGCATCTTCTGTTTTGGGTATATTCTGTTTGAAATTAGGTCAGTACTAATGCTGGAGGAATTCTGAGGTCATGGGATCGGATTTAAGAAGTCTGTTAGGTTAGGTAGTAGGTTATGTAGAATGATTCGAGGGTAGGTTTAGTAGGAGTCGAGAATTTTTATTTATAAAGTGAGAGTCTATGATGTTAGTACTGCAGAAAGATAAGTCTGATACTCACGATCAGAGCAGTGACAGCATCATCCATGCTGGGCATCTGTATGAGCGCCATTTTCCTGTCTTTCGGGAAGAACTTGAAAGCCTTCACGGTGAAGCCATTCTTAGTGAAAGCATCTCTGATCTCCTCTTCGGTTACAGTGTTACTAAAATTATAAACGTCGTTAATAAAACGTAGAAAATTGACAGTTTCAATTGACGGTCGCTTCTGAAAAGTTACTCACGGAATATTCGATAAATGCAAAGTCGCGCTCGGTGGATAGATGTTCTGGTAATTCTTCGAGCCCGGTTTTTTGAATCTATGCAGAGGACTGTTAGTGTAGTCCTTCGTCAAACCGGCATCCGGCTGACCCTCCTTCGGCAACTGAACCGTCTGATGCTTGCTGAGCATCACTTTAATCTGTTTTCCAAACACTCTCAGCTTGTCCATGTGTGTTAGTGCTGCCACAAACAAGATATCATTGAAAAATACATCGTCAAACATGTTCCAACAGTTTCAAACCTTCTCAAACTGAATCGCAGGTGAATTTAGGCTTCTTTATTAATCAATTGAAAATTACCTAAATGTGCCTGATGTGGTTCGGCCATCTGAATCAGTGCCGAGTCCTTCTTGTTGTAGAGAATCTTCACACGCTGTACATCCCCGTAAACGCCTACATGCACAACACGCAAACATCATTTTTAATAAGCTCGACTCGCCTCCAACTTGGTGGATAATTTCTTATGGTGTCTAAGGATCGTCGAAGATGATTCGGGACAATAGATTCAGTCGATCGAGATCGGGGTACGATCGGACTAAGATCTGGGTCATGCAAAGTGACGATCGGTCCAGCTAACGGGTGGCTCAAAACATTGTCAAACGTCGTCAAACACTCTCAAACGTCATGCAGAAATTTATTCTGTTAAACATCAATGGTACTAGAGTGTTCACAGGCTACCATTGAGAATCGAAGGCACGTTATCTCGAGTCTGAGAACTTTCTGTAGGTCAGAGCTGAACCGATCGGCTACTGAGAAGTGAGCTCCTATGGAATTACGTAAAATAAGCGAAAGCTTCTGTAATATTAAGGTGTCTGGAACTGATATTAATAAAATATTAACGAAACGAATTTAGAAGAGATGCTTGGAAATAGAGAACATGAAAAAAATATATGAATGTGTCGCATGGGCGGACGATGATGATTCGATGATCATGACATGGGTGGAATATGTGAATGGAATG